GTGTCTGCCCCAGCACGGCCCGGGCTGGCTCCCCCCGCCCCGCACACACCGGGAGCTGGCGGCAGCTTTCCCGGGCCCCGGGCGGGAATCGCAGCCAGCTCCGCTGGGAGCAGCCTGGGGCAAACCCCCCCCCCCCTGCAGCCCGGGGGTGACGGGGGGAGGGGGGGCGCCGCTCCCGGGGGTTCGGGTCTCTCTTACCTTCCCTCCCAGCGAGGGAAGCCAGAGTCACCGCAGCGGCTGCGAGTCACTTCCTGCTGCCGGGACTGACCGCAGCGATCGCTCCCCCCAGAGCCGCCTCCCAGGTGCTCCTGGGTCCTAGCGATCAACCCACCGCACTGCAGCCCCCTGCCCCAGACCAACTGAGCCAGCACGGGCAGCTTCTCCCAGCGCTATACAGGCATCCTGCCTAGAAGCCACAGGATCAATGGGGGGACAGAAAGGAGACGTGCAGATCCGGGGCGGAGGGAAAAGGGGGGTTTCTAGGGAGATGGGGTTGATCCAGAGAATCCAGGGGCGAGGGGAGCCGGGGACACTGTGTGTGATTCGCTCTGGTAACAGACTGGCACAGGGCACAGTTGGGCAGAGCTGGTCTCTTGTCTCCACACCACACTCACTGGCTACCAGCCCTGGGCTGGAGCTACCAGCTCTGCTCCCCTAGCTCGGGTCATGGAGCTGCCAGAGTTGTGGCACTGGGTTCTTCCGGTTACTTCTTAGTCTAGACCAGGGGTGGCCAACCAAGCCTGAGAAGGAGCCAGTATTTACCAATGTACATTGCCAGAATCACAGTAATACATGAGCAACCCCCTCCCATCAGCTCCCGCCCAAACTCCCAGCACCTCCCACCCACCGGCAGACACATCCCTCCCCGCACCTCGTGATCAGCTGTTTCGTGGTGTGCAGGAGACTTGGGGTGGGGGGGAAGGAGCAAGGGCATGGCAGGCTCAGGGGAAGGGGCGGGAAGGGGTGGAGTGGGGGCAGGGCCTGTGGCAGAGCCAGGGATTGAGCAGTGAGCTCCCCCCAGTACATTGGAAAGTTGGCACCGGTAGCTCCAGCCCCGGAGTTGGTGCCTATAGAAGGAGCCACATATTAACTTCTGAAGAGCCACATGTGGCTCCGGAGCCACAGCTTGGCCACCCCTGGTCTAGATGAACCCATCCCTGGGCTCTATTTAAAACCCCTTCATGTCTGCCCCCCTCCCAGGCTCCCCTCTGCCCCCTCCCGGCTGGCTCCCCCGTGTGGGCACTGACTGCAGCCCTCCGTTGGGCACCTGGATGTCAGCAGGAAAGCTCCTGTTGCTCTGCCCACTCAGGATAGTCCCCTACTCCCCCTCCCCATCATTTTCCAATTGTCACCAAAATCACCCCCCTTCTCCTGATGGGCGCCCAGACAATCCCCTGCAATGTTGGAATTGGTCAGATGCAGCCATCGAAACAGACCAGTGCCACCGAGTTAAGCGCAGGGCCTCATTTTGCTAGGCCAGAAACAGATCAAGATATTAGAAGCACTCTTAAGGTTATGGCTACTGATGCAGCTGCACCATTGTAAGCTCTCTAGTGCAGGGGTTCCCACTGGTGGCCACTCTGGGAATTTTTCCTAAAATACTTAATTAACTTTAGGAAAAACAAACAAACATGCACATATCGATGCCCATATCCTGGTAATTAATTAATGTTGGGTTTGTTGGGTTTTTTTGCAGACTCCATAATAAAAATAATGTACAGTTACTTCTTCAGTAAGTATTCCTTACTGGACCTACACAGAATAGAAACACAAATAAGGTGCTTTGCATATTCTGGTCATTTTTAATTGTTGTTTCTTTTGCTTTTTTGTTGCATTTTATGTTAAAGATTTGCTAGCTAGTAAGTCGGCTTCTGTGAAAAGTGATGTTTGTACGTTTGTTAATAGCATGTTTCACAGCAGCAGACTTGCTAGCGAGCTGGGAGGCAGTGAAAAGTGATTAACAAACATCCAACTATCACTTTTCACAGCAGACTTACACAGACCCAGCAAACCGGGGGACAAATTAAGCCCAGGAGGGGAAGTGGGTAGGGCGGCAGTGGGGGCCAGCAGCGATGAGGGTGGGGGGGGAGGGTTGAGCCAGTGTGGGAGGGCTGAGCCCAGGGCAGGAGCCCAAAGCCCCATGACTGGAGCCTGCTGCCTGCCACCCCAAGGCTGAAGCCAGAAACCCGAGCCCCACCGCCCCCGACAAGATGGGAACTCACAGCAGCTGCCTGCTCCTCCAGCGTTTGAGGCTCCAGAAAGAGGCAGGGCTGAACCACTGCTAGCAGCCCCACGGGAGGGAGCAGCAGCTTTGCGCTCCCCCCCCATCACAGTTCAGGAGGTTGTGGCAGCAAGCTATGTTAGTGAGAGAAGCTAAAAAAAAGCCTCCCCTGAAGCTCTGGTCTGGGCATGGGCAGAAGGTATAATAGGCCAGGGGAGGCCCGGGCTCTGGTGGTCCTGCCTGCACCCTGCCCCTTTCCACTGTGTTCCTCCTCTGGACGTTCTGGGCAGGCGGCTTGGGCTGGTCTTACTGGAAATTCCAGGAGGCGAGCGGGTGCCTCCCCCAGCCTTGCAGGAGGAACCACTGGGACCCAACTGAATTCAGGGGACAATTAAGGGATAACAGGGATGGGAGTGGGAGTCATTGGTTCAGAACTGGGGATCCAGAGGGGGACACCAAGGAGAGAACCCTGGACAGCACCCACTGCTCCTCAAAGCTGTCTAGGGAGCCAGCAGGCGCTGCCCAGAGGAACTCTGCCCGGATGCGTGAGACAAGGGAGGAACTGAAATAGGCCGCACAGTTACAGAGCTCCCCCTTGTCCAGCATCTTCTTCCTGGTATTGTAAATGGCCACTTTGGCCAGTGCCAGGAGGACGTTGATGGGGTCTCATGACTTTGTGGGGCCACGACAGGGTGTGAATATATAAAGAGGTGTGGGGTAAAGTGCAGCCAGAACCTCAAGGGGAGGTTCTGGAGGAGCCGGAATAGGGGCTGTAACCTGGCACATTCTAGATAGGTATGCGCCAGGTTCTCCCTCATGCTGCAAAAGGGACAGGTGTTGGGAACGGAGGTGAACCGTACCAGACCTGTGCTCACGGTTCCATGAAGGAGCCTCCAACCGATATTCATGGCGAGCCGTGGAACCAGGCTGGATTATAGGCTGGCTCACCGGGGTTCCTAACCCTCTACAGGTGGTGGAAAGTCCTGCCACCTGGTATCCAGGCAGGACACGGGGGTGAGGAAGTGGGCCTAGTGGTCTTGGCCACAACCCTGGACTGCCAAGGAGGTCAAGGGAGGGGATCCCGGGCCCTCCCACTCTACCGGGCTCTGACCCAGGTCCCTTTTAGCTACCAGTAACCTGGCAGCCAAGACTACTTAAGTCTGTCCTCCCTGGGCCTCTTCCTCTTGTCTCCCACCCTGGGGTCACCTCAGTCCAAGGCCTTCGGCTGATGGGAAAATCCAAATCCCAAGGAAGCAAGAGGGCATCGCCACTGTCCAGGGCCACAGAATACGTCCCTCTCTGCTTGTCTATGTGGAGGGTCCTCCCTTTTCTCACGGCGGGACCTTTTAAGCCGCTGTTCCAGAGACTTTATGTTTCATCGGGGTCTGCTCTACTGGAGCTGTGGACTGCAGGTCTGCT